ATTCTGATTATAATGTCATATAAAATTTATTTTGATTATTCGTTGGGCCTATCGATACATCGATAGGTGTTCAAACATAACAGCTGTCTGTTTGTCTGACACTTGGCCGTGTTTTTTTTTAATAGCAAAATAACACAATAAATTTGGTGTCAGAGTCAAAATGTGGTTCGAAATCTTACCATCCGCCGCAATCATTACCGTGGCACTCTCCGTGCCCATATACGCGATGTACGGTTTGCAGAAGCTCACACTGGGCAACGTAAGTGTTTGTTGAAATAACACAAAGTTCTTATATAATACTCTTCGTTGACTATGTACTAAACGTAATTTATAAAACATGATTTAGAGACGCGTTTTTAAAGCATTCAAATGCATTGAAGTTGTAACTGAAGGACACACACTCACACACATATGTATACTTCCAATTATGTTTATTTATTTTATTGATTGCAGGCCTATCGCCGCAATATGGACGAACGCTTCGACCGTGTTATGTATCAGCGTGATTTCCGACTGACCAACAATCCCTACATAATGAATGTAAGTGATATCTCTAATATTAGTTTCGTATGCATGCCAAGTATCATCAGTCTACCTGATCATTTCTATTCAGTTTTCCTAACCGAGTTTGATTTGTGATTGTAACATGTAAACATAACCATATAATACTATAATTATATTTATTACACATATGTATGTATTTAAAAAAACAAAATTAATTATGATTTCCCATTATTAGTTCACATTCACCTCTAGCACTTAAGTAGCAAAAATTGTCTGACAATAATTTAGTTATAATTTTTTCTGGCTTTTTCATCTTTCACTTTCAATAATCATACTTTTGCCTTCTCAATATAACAATTAATATCTGTCATATAACATCATTCGTTTCTGAGTCATATTTACTACAGAATCCTTTTCATTTAATCCCTATGTTGCACTTATCATTATTACTCACGTTTTCCTGTTTCATTCCTTATGTTATTTATAAATATACAATGAATGGCGATCACAGCCAAAGCTTCTGCATGTAGCCCTTCTGCTTCAATATTATGAAAATTCGAGAATATGTTTCATTCTCTTACAGGGTCTTAATGCTATACCAGATGAGGATAAGAACTAAACGTAAACCTAGTTGAAATTCTGTTAAGCTTAAGTGCAAAAAGTGAATAAAATTATAATTCGAAACTGAATTAAAATTGGACTTAAAATTTAAAATATATGTATATTTAAGTAGTATTTTTGTAGTTCTTATTAGAGTTTATGATCGGTGCTTAATCAAATTCATTTGCAGGGTCTGAAGGAGATTCAAGAAGAAGATGAGTACGAAAAAGAGAAGAAAGAGAGGGAAAAGAAAAAAGAGCAGGATAGCAAAGAGAAGAAGAAACAACAAGAGTAATTGAATTTAGTTATTGTTTATTTGAAATAATGATTTATGTAGCTGAGCTTTGTAAACAACTGGAATAAACTGAACGGGAGAAGCAACCCTGTGTGCTTGTTGTTGCCTGTGCATAAAAACCACCCCTATGGGGATGCTTCCCCCAATTGGGCTGACAACCCAACTTTTTGGTGGTATTCTGGAAAAAGGCGTCGACAGAGGCGAGTGTACGGCGTATACAGCTCGATGCGCCTCGCAATTTTTTACTATTTAAGTTTCGCCAGCATCTTAAAAAGTGCTCCAAATAATATAAAACTCTGTGAAAATGTTTGTGCAAATGTGTTCAGCGGGTGCCTAAAAGCGGGCGATTGAAGTTATTGGGAAATTTCCAAGTGGAAACAAACAAAAGCGCAAAGTGTACACAAAAGCTGCCTCTAAAAGTATTTACATATACAGAGACACAAATACACACACACACACAGGCACACACTCAGGGCAGTCATGGTGGTTAGGGATATTGAAAGTTTTTTGTATGTGTTTGTTGGGCTTTGCGTGTTTTTGTTTACATGCGAAGCGAATGGTAATTCCTTAAACGCCATCGACGTGGAGGAGCCGGCTAGACGTCACCACCAGCGACATCACAATAGCGAGTACGAGCGGGAGCGGGAGGAGAAGGGCTATTGTGCGCCGTACAATGGCAAGGTGTGCAAGCAGTTCATCACCGGACCAGTGTGGTATAGCCTGGAGGATCCATCGGGTGGCTGGCGCAATGAGCAGATCACGACAGCACTCTGGGATGAGCTTATTATCGACTTGACCGGACTGTGCCGCGAGGCTGCTGAGGTAGGCTAAATCTCTGCTTGTACTCCCTTTGAACAGAGACTAAAGTGGCATCTCTTCTCTTTGCAGAAAATGCTTTGCGCCTATGCCTTCCCGCGCTGTCATGTGGAGAATGGCAAGGCCATCAAGGCGCCGCTCTGCTTCGAGGATTGCCAGGCAACTCATTTGCAGTTCTGCTACAATGATTGGGTCCTGATTGAGGAGAAGCGAGAACGCAACATGTATCTCAAGAGTCGCGGTCACTTTCGACTGCCCAACTGTACGGCCCTGCCCCACTATGATGCCAGCATGCGCTGGCCCAGCTGCTCATACATAGGTCTCACCGAGATCAAGGAGTCGGAAGTTAGCTGTAAGTAGAAACTGCCAGAGCCTCTTTTGAGCTAGTAACCAGTAATCTTGTCTCTTTTTAAGATGACTGTCGCAATGGCAATGGACGTTACTATCTGGGCAGCATGAATGTGACCAAATCGGGCATACCCTGCCAGCGCTGGGACACACAGTATCCGCACAAGCATATCCAGCCTCCTCTAGTCTTTCAGCAGCTGACTGACGGCGAGAACTATTGCCGCAATGCAGGCGGAGAGGAGCCCTATCCCTGGTGCTACACCCTAGATGAATCTGTGCGCTGGCAGCATTGCGATATTCCACTTTGTCGTAGGTTTACCTGGATTATTCTACTCTTAAATGTAGCTAAGACTGTGTCGAATTCCTATTCCAGCTGACTACGTGGATCCGAGTGCCAAGGACTTGAATACGCCCATTAAGATGGAGGAGTTCTTTACGCCCTCGATGATATTCCTGCTCGCTGGCATTGGCTTCATTGGCATCGTGGCACTTCACTTGATTATACTGCTCGCCTACAAGCTCTCCAAGCACAAGGAGTACACGCAGCCCCAGTCGCAGGCAGTGCATGGCGAGTGCGGCGCCAACTTGTCGGCAAGTCGCGAAACCCTCGGCTCCACAGGCTTTGCTCCCAACAGCATCAAATGTGGCACCATCCGCAGCACTGCGACCATACACAGCGTCAACTGCGTGATGCTGACGACGACAGCTGCGGTGCAGCAGGAACCGAAGACGAAACTGAACACACGGCTGGAGAAGCTGGAATATCCGCGAGGAGATATTGTCTATGTGCGCTCCTTGGGACAGGGCGCTTTCGGTCGCGTCTTTCAGGCCAAGGCGCCGGGACTTGTGCCTGGCAATGATGACCTGCTGGTGGCTGTCAAAATGCTGAAGGACGATGCCACCGATCAAATGCAAACGGACTTCGAGCGCGAGGCCTGCCTGTTGGCCGAGTTCGATCATGCGAACATTGTGAAGCTATTGGGAGTCTGCGCCTTGGGGCGGCCCATGTGCTTGCTCTTCGAGTACATGTCGCCGGGTGACTTGAGTGAATTTCTGCGTGCCTGCTCGCCGTATGCCACACATCAGGTCCAGCCGCACAATCGCCAGCACCTGGATGAGCTGCAGCTGCTCCACATGGCCTCGGATGTGGCCTCGGGCATGCTCTACCTATCCGAACGCAAGTTTGTGCATCGCGATCTGGCCACGCGCAACTGCCTCATCAACGAGCAAATGACCGTGAAGATAGCCGACTTCGGTCTCTCGCACAAGATCTATCTGCAGGACTATTACAAGGGCGACGAGAACGATGTCATCCCCATACGCTGGATGCCCATCGAGAGTATACTGTATAATAAGTTCTCCCTGGAGTCGGATGTGTGGGCCTTTGGCATCTGCTTGTGGGAGATCTTCTCCTTTGCTCTGCAGCCCTACTTCGGGCTGACACACGCCGAGGTTATCAAGTACATCAAGGAGGGCAACGTGCTGGGCTGTCCGGACAATACGCCGCTCTCTGTGTACGCTCTAATGCGCCGTTGCTGGAACAGCAAGCCAAGCGAACGTCCCGGCTTCGCGGAGATCAATCACTGCATTCAGCACAGCATTGCTGAGAGCGAATGCAAGGCGATGCTTTAGGCTGAGCAGCGATTCAGCTAATTCAGCGCAGAACGAATCGAAAGCGTAATCGATATTCCGTCATTGTTTGAAGACATCATTTCAACGAATCCGTATCCGTATCCGTAAACTTAATGCTCTCCAGCTTGTCTTCCGGAGCATCTACACACACTTAACATAACGATAATATAATTAAAATACGGACTTATCCAGAATAGTTTTTTTCATAACTTATATAAGTCTTTGGAATTGTTAATTGTTTTTGTATAAACCTTCTGGCATATTTCCTAGACGGCTTCACCTCCGAGAACTTCCTAAGTTTCCAGTTGATTTCACGTATGCCAATATATTTTGCTAGTAGTTGCATGATATCCAAAGCACTCCATATTTACATTAAATATGATATCTTATTATTATAACAATTACGATATATTTACTTTGCCACAACGAATGCATCACGTATCTCATATCTAGTCCGTAGACACAAAAATAAGGTTAATTCACTAAAAATATAAACATAATTACATTTATATATATATACACATGCATTGCGGATTGAATTGCAATCGGTTTTTATTTAGACTTAAGCTCGAATACTAAGGACCGGTCCATGCAAACGAATATGAAACAAACAAACACCGAAGACCATCAAAACAATAAGGAATCAATGAATCTATCTATATAAATATGAAAATATCAAGTATTTAGAGAACTGTCTACAGCCTCAATTTCTTAGGACATTTACATCATAATCTTGTAACTGAAAATGTTAATGTAATTTGTATAATATAACTTTCATAATCAAAAACAAAAATTGTCTTTCCATCTAGCAATAATAGTAGTCGTCGTAGTAGTAGTCGTAGGGATATGGGCGACGACACGGATAGGAGACAGGCACAGGCAGCGGCAGCACGCCAAGTCCGACGCCACCATAGCCATAGGATCTATATCCTCGATAGCCGCCATAGCCGCCATAGCCGCCATAGCCGCCATAGCCGCCAAATGGTCGGCCGTAGCCACCTCTAAAAGGTCCTCCAAAGCCAGGTCTCCTACCACCGAAGCCACCAGGTCGTCCGCCACCGAAGCCAGGTCTTCCACCACCAAAGCCACCAGGTCTTCCGGAACCTCCTCGACCGCCACCACGGCCGCCTCCACGACCTCCTCCGCCACGGCCTCCTCCGCCATGGCCTCCTCCACCATGGCCTCCTCCGCCATGGCCACCTCCTCCTCCTCGAGCAGACGACAGCTCCAGCATACTTAAAAGCAATGCAAGAAGCAATAAAATCCACAATTTCGACATATTTTAGAACACTTCCAAGCTGTTTCCCTTTCGTATTGCGACTAAAAAAAACATCATTTCCCAATTTGTGGATAGGCAAGTGTTGCATATATGTATATAGCTCATCAATTAGAGTATCTGTAATAATTGGCAAATCTGAACTTTACTGTTCTGAAAATCCCCTCAAATATCACATTTCACATACATATGCATTCATGGTATATATATTTATATATATTTGTTTCGCAAAACAAAGAAACGTAGCTCGACTTTGCGATATCACAGAAACCTAAATAGATTCAATAGTATACTTAAAAATCAGTTTGTATATATATATGTATAGGCTTAGTTTCAGTTGATTTTGGGACAGTTGGTGTTCTTGCTGAGAACCAGCCTATCCGGATCCAGGGACAGTCGCTTTAGCACATCATAGATCTTCTCTCGTATCTCCACCACAAAATCTGTTTCACGTCCCAGAATCCAGATTTGATCCGCATAGCCAAGCGATCCAATGCTTCCACATGACCACAGGATAGCATAGTTGTCGTAGTCCGTGTAGAGCACCTGGTATTTCCCAGATCCAGGCAGCAGACGGGCAATCACCTCAGGAAAACGTGTGTTGAACTGCGATTGTTTGTTTAGAATTATTAGTGAGATGCTGAGCAGTTTAGATGATGATGATGACAATGGTAATGATTATATATTCTCTGAGCAATGCTGCCAATTTACGATCAAAATCCTGCATTCCTTCCTTCGCTGTTTTCCTAAATTATTAAACACTACTTCTCTGTATTTTATTTACTCTTGAGTTCATCTGTTCTTCGATTGCAATATTTATATAGCTGACAGCACTAATGATTGCTCAAATATGATACATGAGTGTGATATTTTGATAGACTTACCTTAAAGTCCATTATGGAAGATTTGCTGTTCTCTGGTGTGGCGTAGCCCAGATTAACATTCGGATTGCCAGTGCTAAAAAGAGTAGAAATATATACAATGTACACTCTACTATATAATGGACTCTCTCTTAACCTTTCTCTCTCTATACATCTTTATCTATGTCTATATAACTGTATTATTTACATTTCCTCACTAATTTATTATTTACCTATCTCCCCATATCTACAGCTTCCTCAAACTCCCACCCTGTGACACTATGTTTCTCCAGCTAACTCTGTTTCCCTAATCTTCTACGTATAACTGACTCTGCTCTTACTTACATGCGATTGACAGTTTTAATGGCCACCTCCACTTTAAAATTGTTAAACTTGGACAGCTCCGCTTTACTATAGGGCTGAAATTCAAATGTGGTGCAGCCGGAGGCAATTTCTGGCAAATAAAACGAACGCTCCACCTCGTACCAGTGACCCAGTACCTGTAAGAAATAGAAGTGAAGACAAAAACAGATTTAGAAATAGCATAAATAGGACAGATATGGATCTCTAACTGCAGACAACTATAAATATATAATAGATCAACAGTCAAAAATAATTATTTACGTAGTTTCGATAAGAATTTCAAGCTGCGTTTCTCTTTATACGCCGATGAGTAAGCATTTAACTGGGTTACTATTAAGAAAAAAATAAATAAATAAAGGAAAAACAGATTCAAAAATAAAAAGAAATAAATAGCTGCCTTCAGTCGCTGCGTAAAACATAAACATTTCAAGTATTTTTTATTTATTGTTTTTTTTCGATTTTTTTTTGGTAAACTGGTTTCACTGCTGCTCTCAAATATTGCCCAGTAGCTGATGCTGCTGATAGCCTCCGGCTGCTGCCGACTGCCAATTGCTAGAGCTGCTAGTCATAGGGGCCGCCACTGCATAATTATTCTTAAGCTCGAGGTCTTTGCCCCCCTCTTAAGGCGAATCGTGTCAAAGCGAGCTTACCAACTGCTCAATTGAAGGCAACGAAGACTTTTATCATCCAATTAGAGGGCACAGCAGAGAGTCGAATGCAACGGAAGCTGCTGAAGCTGATTACGTGACACGAAACATGCACGAGATAGCACGAAGGGAAGTTTGGAAAGTAGAAACGCCATAACAATAGGCTTTATCATGCTCCTCCTTTCTCTTATACATACATTTATTGTGTAAGCAATCTAGTTCTTCCAGTTGCAAGTAGATTGTAAATTTAGCATGAAAGAAACTTAAATATAATTCAATTAGCATTTGTTTAGCTGTCTCAATGATGACTTCAGTTGCTTTAGCTATACAATATATACATATATATAAATTGTTTTCAGCTCTTTTCAGTCTTACGCTCATCTCTTAGCAGCTGTGTTTCGCCTTTGTTCGCTTTGTTAACTCTCACTAGTTTATTATGCTATATGGATATGGTAATTCGTTGAGTTTTTACAGCGCGCGAATGGAACTTTAAGTGCTCTCAAGGCGGTCAACTAAATGTCTCCCTCGCTACACTCGGCGTATGATTAATGTAATTGGCCAGCTAAATTGATTCCAGTAATTTTCTAGTTTTCAACTAAAAACAACAACAGCAAGAGCAACATTAGCAGCAGCAGCAGCAGTAGCAAAGATCTCTTTGATCTTTGGTCTCATTGTTGTTGTCCTTGGGCTTCTTGAATACGTCAATTGAATTGTTTGTTAGATAAATAAATATAAGTATATACACATTTGTATAGACTATATAACTATATATACAAATGTTTATATATATTTATATGGATGTGCTTATAAAATTTGTTAAGCTTTTATGGCGGCCTGGCTGTAAACTGGTTTGCACTTTTACATTGTTGCAGACTCTAAAAATTGGTTCAAGTTCAACTTTATGCACAATCTTTAAAGAAACAAGAAAAAAAACAACCAGCGCCTTGTGGTAAAAAATGGGAAATTTCACAGCTTTTTGTTTTGGAATTTGTTATTATTTGGCAAATGCCTCAAACGTGCTGTGAAATCTGCTAATGGTCGCACGCTTGCCTAAAATGACAGTAAAAGGCGAAGTTCTGTGATGCTAATAAGAGTAGAGCGAAAGATCGCTAAAATAATAATAACTCCATCCTATTCCTACCTCACAAGAAAGTCAAAAATTTGTTCAATCATGTGAAAGGTATGAGCTGACAAATTTCCCTCCTCATTCATATTTAAATATATTTAATTTAGTTTAGTTTAGTTGTGACTTTGCAAACCGTAAATGGAGATTTTACTGTATACACAGTTGCATCTATTTGTTTTAATGCTTATTTGTTTGTGTTATAAGAGAGGGTAACTTACTCGACTCATATTGAACTTTGGCATGGATGGATACTTCGGGCAACGTCCAAATCCGTACGCCTTTGTCTCTGCCACAAACGTGGATAACAATAAAACGCTTGACAATAGCGAAATACGCAAAATTGTGCAAAACTTCATTTGATACATATTTGCAATAGAGTATATATATGTCTATATGTATGTATGTATGTATATTTAGGGCACAGATTGACACAGTTGCTCAGCTTTGATTGTTCTGCATAGAATGTTTAATTTGTAATTTTTCAATTTATTTGACGATTCACTTGATTATGCACAGTAGAGCTTCTGTTTTTTTCTTTCTTCTTCTTCTTTTTTGGATGTCAGTTGGCCAATGAACGCTGAAGCATAGTTTTCATTTCCTTTTTTTGTTTTTGTTTTTGTTTTATTGTTGCTGGTCGATGGACCTATTAATATTCCGCAGTAGAAATGTGCGATAATAAAAACGTGCTCGACTCAAGCCTGACTTTGTGCAGTGCAACAAATTTGTAAACAGTGAAAATGAAATGCTCTTTCAAACAAACCAAAAATGTATATATACGTCTATATATACATTAACTAGGTTGGATCGTGCCTTGGCTAAACGTTACGTAAAAGAAAATTGGAGAAAAAAACAAGTAAGAGTGCTTTAGTCGGCAGTGCCCGACTTGTAGATACCCTGACCAGGACATCACACAACTATTGCTAATATTTGTCATATTCTCTTAATTTTGCCTCTTTACAGCCCCCTTCGATCTTCTCTTTACTGTCCTTAATGTGTCTTCACATATTTTCTTCTTTTGTTGTCTTCTCCACTCTATTATTCTTGTCTCTTCTTTCTTTTCTACCTACAGCATATATGTTACCAAAAACAATCTACCCCGCTTAACCATTTCACCAATAAATTCAGGGTATTGAGCTAAAAACCAGACTGCAGCAGGCTAAGCGATGCGAAAACGAAACGAGCTGGCTGCCACACACACAGAGCTCCATTGTAAGTGGCAAATGAATGTGGCATGCCACAGCAGCGGCAGCAACTGCAACTGCAACTAGTTGGGTGGTAAGCGCTGCGCGAACAGGTGAATGTTGCGCATTCATTCGTTCATTCATAAACAAAAGTAAAAGGCCCAATAAAGGAAGTCCATTGTTGCATGCGTCATGATATTGATGATCAAATGCTTTTGCAAACCAGCTGTTATTAAACAACTGAATTGGCTCAAGTTCAAGTCAACTGTAACAGCAGCCATGGGGAGAAAAAGGAAATATGAATAGCGAGCATTCCACAGATAAAATAAAGGAAGTCTACTCAGTTCATATCTTTCATAACACACTTCCAGGCAAATTTTGTAATAACTAACTAACAAGTTATTTTAGCCATTAGCAGGCAATGAAAATTGGCAGTGAGTGTTAATTTTTTGCAGACAGACAAACAGAAAAGAGCAACAGTAAACAAACAAACAAAAAAAACAACAAAAAAACACAAAAAGCTAACTATTCAATTACGTATATTAACGTAGTCATTCAGTTGCCAAGGCAATTGCAAATTTATGCTATTATTTCTTTATAATTTTAACTGCCTTTAAATAGTTATTGTAGTATATTTGTTATCTCTTTGTTTACAAATTTGTTTGCTGCGTATTCTTTCGCACTAGAAAGTCTTTTTTCTTCTCGAATTGTTTACCGACAACTAAATAGCATAGACTGCAACCGCACCGCTCGACCGTTGGAAATGTACTGACTGCTGTTTATCGTATGGGTATTTGAATTGCAAACAGTGTGACCGTCGCGCAATAATAAATGTATACATCAAGTGTGCACACACTGCGTAGCTAATCGATAACAGCTTATCAGCCGACCTCCATATTTGTGTAGATTGTCAACAAATTGCAAGCAGATTTGTTTTATTTATTTTTTTTTTGTTTTAATCAAGTTTCATTCTGCAACAATAAATGACGGCAGCTTAGGCAATTCCATTTATTCAAGTAACCGTAGGGTAAGGATATGGCAGCGTGTGTGCTTTGTTTTCGCTGCTGCAACAATGATGAATCCTATAAAATATTCTCCGAACTTGGTTTGCGGCTCAACATTTGCAAAACAATCAACAAACATTTTTGGCTTGAGGTAAAGGCGCGAATATTTTAATTTTGTATATCACGTTTCCTTTTTCACTTTTCCTGCGCAAACTATTTGCAGCTGAGCAGCGCAACTGGTGAGCACGAGCAAATATGTCGCCAGTGCTGGGAGTGCGTGAGCAGCTTCAATGAATTCTATCAGCGAGTCTACAATGCCCATCAGGAGAGACGCAGCGACGTGAAGAATGTGCAGATCGAGTTCTGTGACGAATCCGAGGCAGCAAATCCATTGGCGTTTGGCGGTGAGCTGGATGCGCTGGCTGAGGATTTTTTTGCCACGAGCGATGTCAAGGTGGAGGTGAACGAACTCGAGCCCCTGCCCAAGCTTGAAGTGCTCGAAGAGCAGTTGCTGGAGCAGAGGAGCGCTGCTACAAAGAGACCGAGTGCTGAGCAGCCAGCGAGTGCTAAGCGACGCATTAAAAAAGAACAGCCAACGGTCAACAGTGATTCAGATGGCGATATACCTTTAGCCGAGTTTCTAGATCTGAAAGCATCTGCAGCGAAGGGAGTTAAAGGACAGCCGTTGCGTCGTAGCACACGCCGCGGGCTACGTTCCAAAACGCCGCCAATATCCCCGCCCAGCTGCATGAAGAGCGAGAACGATTCCGATGATGATAATGACAAGGAGCTTCTAGCTGCGGAGGCAGTGCTGGGCACTGATGACAGCGCCAGCTCGAGCGAAACCAGCGACAGCGACTCAGACAACAGTTTGCCGGACATGGAGCCAGAGGAGCGATATGCAGAGATACCCAAGCGTGTTGTGGTCAAGCCGAAGAAGTATCGGAAACGCCCCAAGCCTCTGATTCCACCTGTGCGAATGAGCCGCGAGGAGATCGAGAAGCGGAAAGCGCAACAAGACGAATTCGATAAGATCATCATAGATTTCTTCAAGAAGCTGCCGTGCCATGTCTGCAATCTGCTGGTGCCCAACTTCGGAGACATGCGGCGCCATCAGCGTATGTCCCACAACATGGAGAGTGGCTTCATTGCCTGTTGTGGTCGCAAGTTTCACATACGCCGCGCACTGGCCGAGCATGTGCTGGTCCACAAGAATCCCGAGCACTTTATGTGCACACAGTGCGGTCGCATATTCCACGATTCCAAAAGTCTCGAGACGCACGAACAGACGCATACGAATCCACAAGCGGATACGAAGGATAAACGCATGTATCAATGTGATAAGTGTCCCAAATGCTTCACCACAAAGGCTGCTGTGGAGTATCACAATGTGTCCAAGCATGTGCCCAAGTCGGATTTCAAATACACCTGCCCAGAGTGCAACAAAAAGTTAGTTGACTTTGACCTCAAGGTTATACGTAATGCCTAACTGCCTTGTTCCTTTTTTCGCTTTGCAGAGTGCCCACAGAACGCAAGCTGAAGGAACACTTGCGCTATATGCATGATCCGGAAACTGCCATCATTTGCGACAAATGCGGCAAGACGTTGCGCTCCCAGGCGAATCTTAAGAAACACCATGAACTGGAGCATTCCGATAAGCCACGGCCAAAGCCCGATCCCGTACAATGCGAGATATGCGGCACTTGGCTGCGCCACTTGTCAGGGCTCAAGCAGCACATGAGCACGGTGCATGAGCCGCCCGGTGGTGAGCATCGATGCCACATCTGCGACAAAAAGTCCACAAATTCGCGAGCACTCAAACGCCATATTTACCACAACCATCAGTGCGAGCGAAAGTTTCGATGCACCATGTGCGAGAAGGCGTTCAAGAGGCCACAGGATCTTCGAGTAAGTGAAGCAGTCGACTTAAAGAAGCATCAGGGAGTCTATATCGTCTATATCTTTGCAGGAGCACACGTCTACGCATACAGGTGAGGTGCTATACACCTGCCCGAACTGCCCGCAGACGTTCTTCTCGAATGCCAACATGTACAAGCATCGCCAGCGCTTGCATCGCGCCGAGTGGGAGGCGGATCGCAAGAAGCCGCTGCCACCGAACATAATGCAACAAGCAGTGGTCGCCACAACGGCCATGAAGAAGCGTCAAACCGCCGACTCGACCATTGCTGCCACCCAGAAGCAGGAGACAAACAACTGCAACAATAGTAATAGTATTTAAGTAACTATTTATGTCATATTTAGAAATAGTTAAGAACGAAGAAGGAACTCATAAATATAATGCAGACACAAGTACACATTCATGGACTACAGATAGGTGACTATGGCTATGGATATTTAATGATCGTCCTGTGGAATGCGAATCGTCTCGCAGATGCCCTCCTCCCGATGCACGCTCGCCCAGTGCTGCGACAAATGCTGGCTAATGGCTCGCCGAAAGACCATGCACGTAATGTGGGGCAATTTCTCGAAGCGGACGCGCAGCAGGCCCAGCTTGGCCAGAGCGAAACGCCAGTTCTTCATGATACTGGCATTCTTGCCCACATGCTGGGAGTCGGGTGTAATGATGACTAGAATTCCCTCCGGTCCCAGCAGCTCGTAGGCCTTCTGGCAGCAAATCAAACGCTGTTCCGCACTGGGCATGTATTCCAGCAGGAGGCTGAAGATGACGCAATGATAGTAGCCAGCAGGTAAGCTTTTCACGGTCTGATCGACAATCTCCGGTTGCTTCAAACTAGCGTCTACGCCCACTGTGAGAAAGTCACCTTGGAGCACATGAGTTCCAGGTGCGGGACAGAGATCGATGGCTGTCACCTCCAGGTGTGGTGTATTGCCAAACGGATTGAAGCAGCTGCCCACGTCTAGCACTCGAACACTGTCCGGTGGCTCATCCATGTACGCACATTCTGAATCCGCCAGCTCATTGTAGGAAGCGAGCAGGCGCTGCTCCCGCTGTCGCTTCTGCAGATAGATGCCCTCCGTGTAGAAGTATTTGATTATATAGTCGATGGCCCACTTGATGCGACTACGCGCTTGCAGCTCCGTCTTAGTAGCATTCGATTCCCATATGCCAGCGAGCTGCTGCATTGCATCTGCATACTCAGCCAGCTTTTCAGCATTGTGGGGTGCTGTGTGCTCCTTCCAAGCACGCTCTGCTCCATA